CGTACGCCGCCACGTCCGCAGGCTTGCCGGACCAGCTGTAGCCCCTCAGGTCCGGCGCCACCACGTGGTAGCCGCGGCTGCACACAGCGAGGGCGCATGGGGCAGCCGGGAGAGGGGAGAACACAGGAAAGAGGATGAGGCGACTGATGAAGGAGCGAGGACAGCTATTAAGGAAGTAAGCGAAGACGACGGAACATGATATCAGGGACGACGCTAAGAGGCGTGCGTTGAGTTGCACAGAGGTGGCAAGAGGGCGAGGAGTAGGCGCGCGCAGTGAGGGGGGGTGGAGGCGGGAAGCGCACCTGGCGAAGAAGCGGAGCTGGTGCTTCCACGTGTACCAGAACGACGGGAAGCCGTGCAAGCACAGCACCTGCCAGGGGGGCGCGCGGGGGGGCAAGGTAACGCTCAGACCGAGCAGGCAGTGCGACGGAGAAAAGGAAAACAGACGGGAAATCGGGAGGAGGGGCAGTGGGCCAGGTTGCTGAAGACGCGAAACGGGAGGGAGCCGTGTATGTGTGGGAGGGGCACGGACCAGCGGGCCGCGCGGGTCCCCGCAGTGCACGAAGTGCAGGCTGACGTCGCCGTTGGCCACGTAGCCGTGCGTCACCTCCTGCCCCAACACGCTCTCCACCTCGCCTTCCGCTGGCTGCCTCCCACCCATCCCTTTTTTTTTACACTCGCCGCTCCCTTCCGCCTCCTTTCTCGCCCTCTGCCTTTCAGTCTTCCGCGTCTCGATTTCCTCTCAACCACGGAGTTTCAGCCGTCGAGCAGCTCCCGACCAGGATATGGCCGCCCAGCCTGGGCTGAGCTGAGGCAGGGACTACCACGCCGAATCCAACGGAATTCAGACTTCAGCTGGAATTCGAATGTGCCCCTTAGCGACCGCGATGTACCTAGAACGAGAGGAGTCTGTACTCTCTTGCGCCCTTCTCATGTAGTCAGTCGTTTCCTCTGGCAGTCAGATGGCTGTAAGCATCGTCCGTCACCATTTGATGGCATCGCGTCAGCAATGTCGCATGAGTTGGCTTGGCTGGATTCCGCATGCGATTGTGGCATAAAGCCAAAACCCGTTACAGACCGAGCCTGGTAGGCCTCTAGGAACTCGCCCATACAGAGACTGGTTCTGTACGGAAATTCTATTTTTGTAATGAAGCGCAAAGAGCGTGCCTCAAAGGATTGATTAGAGAAGAAACAATACAAGTCAGCTACATCAAAACACCAGGGATCATGGATATAGTTAGCCTAGTGCAGAGTGCCCAGATCTAGGCATGCAATAGCAAGGCGGACAACAATGTATGCGGCTCGTCAGGAGACCACATTGTCAACTTATACATATTATCTATGTAGAAGTTATAGGCTAGACTGAGGTATGCTTCTAGTGAGTACAACCAACTAGTATTTGTTCTAGGTTTCCACCTCTAGTAATCATTCGTTTCTACGTTAACATGGTATCACGCTTAGGTTAGGATCCCCCCGCCTACCGCTTCCGCCCGTCGCGCCTCCTAGGCCCCGTCGCGCCCCCTAGGCCCCGTCGCGCCCCCCCCTGGGCCCCGCCGCGCTCGTTAGGCCCCGTCGCGCCCCCCCTGGGCCCCGTCGTGCCCGCTGGGCCCCGTCGCGCCTCCTAGGCCCCGTCGCGCTCCCCCTGGGCCCCGTCGCCCCCGCTGGGTCCCGTCGCGACCCCTAGGCCCTAACGCGCCCCCGCTGGGCCCCGTTGCGCCTCCTAGGCCCCGTCGCGCCCCCCATGGGCCCCGTCGAGCCCGCTGGGCCCCGTCGCGCCCGTTCGGCCCCGTCGCGCCCCTCCTAGGCCCCGTCGCGCCCGCTGGGCCCCTTCGCGCTTCCTAGGCCCCGTCGCGCCTGCTAGGCCCCGTCGCGCCCCCCCTGGGCCCCGTCGCGCCCGTTAGGCCCCGTCGCGGCCCCCCTGGGCCCCGTCGTGCCCGCTGGTCCCCGTCGCGCCTCCTCGGCCCCGTCGCGCCCCCCCTGGGCCCCGTCGTGCCCGCTGGGCCCCGTCGCGCCCCTTAGGCCCCGTCGCGCCCGCTGGCCCCTGTCGCGCCTGCTGTTAGCGCTCGCCCGCCTGGCCTCCTCCTAGTGCCGCTCGGCCTCCTCCTAGTGCCGCCCGGCCTCCTCCTAGTGCCGCCCGGCCCCTTCCTAGCGCCGCCCGGCCTCTCCTCAGCGCTGCCCGGCCCCTCCTCGTGCCCGACCGGCCCCAGCAGCACCAGCCTGGCCCCTCCCAGCACCAGCCCGGCCCCAGAGCACCTGCCCGCCTCCCCTGCTCGGCCTGCCGTGTCCTCTCGGGCCCTGTGTCTTCTGCTTGCCTGCGCTGGGACACCTAGCTGCTGCCCTACTGGAGAGTGCTGCCGCCGTGTCCCCGCGCCGCTGTGCTCCTGTGCCGCTGAGGAGCTGTGCTGCTGTGCCGCTGTGTCGCTGAGGAGCTGTGCCGCTGACCCTGCACGATGGCTGACTTTGTGCTCCGCCTGGACGCTGAGGGCCACGCGGTTGACTTCGCCGCCTGGCTCTCCGATCTTCGCCGCCAGCTTACAGGTCAGCGCCAGGATGGCCACTCTCTGGTTGTCCATGCTGATGGCTTGCTCCCCCGTCCCCCTGCACCTACTCCCCTCCCTGCTGACCCCTCCTCTGATGACCGTGAGGCTTTCTCTACTGCTGCGCTGGCCTGTGCGGTCTGGGACTCACGCGATGCAGTAGCTCAGGTTGCTATTAGTCACGCCCTCCCTGTGTCTGAGCGCTCGCGTTTTGCTACTGTTGAAACGGCCAAAGCTTATTTAGACGCCGTTATTGCTCGCTATTCCACCCCTGCCTCCGCTTCTGCTGGCCGCTTGCTCTTTCCGATGCTGTTCCCAGACCTGGCTGCCTTCCCTACTGTCGCAGATTTTGCCACTCATTTGCGTGCCCTAGAGACTCGCTATCGCACTGCCAGCACTGCTGCCCAGCTCACTGCGCTCCCCCCTCCTTTCTGCATGACGCTCTATTTTATCGCTATGCGCCTGCCAGACCGCCTCGCTAGTGCTCGCGACCACTTTCTTAGCCAGCACCCGGGTGACCTCACCCTGACCGCCTTTGTCGACACCCTCACTGAGATCGAGACTCGCCAGCGCACTATCGCTCAGTCGAGCGGTGCGCCGGCAGTCTCTATCTTTCACGGCTGTGCCCCATCCCAGTGCACGTTCACTGACGTTTCGGCTGCGGTCGCCACGGCGACCCCTCTTACCGAGACGGCTGCTGCTGTCCACCCGCAGCAGCGCTCGCGTCGCGGTGGCCGTGGCCGCCAGGGAGGTAGGGGTGGTGACGCAGGTGGTAGTGGTCGTGGTGGTGGTGACGGTAGTCCGCCTGAGGGGACTACCACCGGTGGGCAGGAGCAGCAGCCCCAGCAGCAGCAGGACCAGCCCCAGCCGCAGCCGCCGTCCCAGCAGCACCCGCCGCCGCCGTGGGCTCGTCTCCCGTCTGGTTGGCCCGGCACCTCCGGAGGCGGTGGCCGTGGTGGCGGCCCGCGCAGCTTGGCGTCTACCAGCGGCTCCAGTGCTGTGACCTGCCAGTACCAGCTTCAGACCGGGCCTCTCCGCGGCACTCTGTGCCGCCGCCCGCACCCGACCGCCCGCTGTTTCCGCCGCCTCGACGATCTTTTTCGTCGTCGCTTTGGCCCGGCCCCGGACCTCCCTGACTGGCACAGCCTGCTCCGCCAGGGCGTGCCGATCTTTGAGTTAGACATGGATCAGATAGGTGTTGCTTTGCATGCTTTGTATGCTGACGCTTCTAGTGTTGCTGGATCTTACTACACTGTGTACTCTAGTTTAGGTGTTTCACCCTTGTGTAGCTTAGCTTCCCCTGCTGCGACAGGCGTAGGACTGCCTAGGTTGCCTAGTCTAGTCGCTGCACCGGCTCCGTCCCCGGCCTCCGCCACTGCGTCGCTGTCCTTCACTCTCGACTCTGGTGCTTCTGCCTGCTTCTTCCGCGACCGTTCCACGCTCACGCCGCTTGCTGCACCTGCTGTTGTCTCTCTCGCTGACCCCTCTGCGGGTCCGGTCGTCGCGCGCAGTTCTACGTCCCTTCCCTGTCCGGCAGTTCCCTCGGGCTCCCTTACTGGCCTCCACGTTCCCTCGTTCTCCAGGAACCTGGTTGGTGTCGGCTGTCTTCAGGACCTCGGCGTCACCACCACGTTCCCCGGGCACGAGCGGTTCGCTGTCTGTTCTGAGGCTGTCTCAGGTTCCCCCCTTGCGACGTTCCCCCGGGACCCGGTGTCCGGTCTGTTTACCCTACACACCGCTTCCCCCCCGGTTGGTGCGTCCTCCCAGGTCGCTGCAGCTTGCTCGTGTCGGTCCCTCACTCACCCCTCCCTTCTCTGGCACCACCGCTTAGGTCACCCTGCTCTCCCGCGTCTGCGTCACATGTCCCAGCACGGTCTTGTCTTAGGTCTTCCCGCGTCGCTCCCTGCCCTTCCTCCCTCGACTGCGCCACCGTGCACGCCTTGCGTCGAGGGTCGGCTCCGCCGTGCTCCTCACTCCTCCTCGCTGCGTCCTGCTACTGCCCCCCTTCAGACCCTGCACTTGGACGTTTGGGGCCCTGCCCCCGTCCCCGGACCGCGCGGTGAGCGCTACTTCCTTGTGCTTGTCGACGACTACACGCGCTACACCACGGTGTTTCCCCTGGAGCGGAAGGCCGACGTGCCCGACGTTCTTCTCCCGTGGGTTGTGGCTGCGCGTCTCCACCGCGGTCTCCCCGTGTTGTGTCTCCACTCCGACCGTGGCGGCGAGTTCGCCTCTGGTCGGCTTGGACAGTTCTGTCGTGCGGAGGGCATCACCCAGTCGTACACGTTGCCGGACTCGCCACAGCAGAATGGGGTTGCTGAGCGCCGCATCGGCTTGGTCATGGAGGTCGCCCGTACCTCCATGATCCATGCCGATGCCCCCCATTTTCTGTGGCCGTTCGCTGTTCGCTACGCGGCTCACCAGCTTAACTTGTGGCCACGCTCCCAGGGGCCGCAGGTTTCGCCGACCCTCCTTTGGACCGGGTCCCCCGGTGACGCGTCTGCGTTCCACGTCTGGGGCTGCCTTGCTCACGTTCGTGCCTCTGGCACGGACAAGCTCACTGCCCGCACTGTCCCCTGTGTCTTCCTCGGTTTCCCCCTGGACTCGTCTGACTGGCTTTTCTACCACCCGCCGTCTCACCGCTTCCTCCACTCTCGTGACGTCACCTTTGACGAGTCCGTCTCCTTCTACCGCCGCTTCCCTCACCGAGGTCTCCCAGTTGCCCCCCCCCTTTTCCTTGCTCCCTCTCCCCCGGTAGCCCCTGCCCCTCTCCCGCCTCGTCCTGCCCCGTCTGGTGTCTCCCACGTCACTCCCCTCCCGTCGGTTGTCCCCGTTGAGGAGTCTGCTGACTCTGGTGGTACCCCCGGTCCGTCCTTGCCGCGTCCCCCTTCCCCGGTGCCTCCGCCCCCACTGTCGCAGTCGCCGACCCCGCTGCCGCCGCCGTCGCCGTCGCCGCCGCAGCCGTCGCCGCTGTCGTCGCCGCCGCCGCCGCTGTCGCTGCCGCAGCCGTCGCTGCTGTCGCCGCCGCCGCAGCCGTTGCCGCCACTGCCGCCGCTGCTCTCGGCCCCTGGGGGTGCTGGTGTGGAGGAGGGTGTTCGTCCTGCGGCTTCTGGGGGTGCCGCTGGTGTTGGAGGGGGTTCTCGCTCTGGGGGTGTTGGTTCTGGGGGTGCTGCTGTTGAGTGTTCTGCCGACGGTCGTTCTGCCTCTGCTGGTCCGAGAGTTCCGGCCCAGCCGTCGTCGCCGCCGCAGCAGCCGTCGCCGCCGGTTTCCGCTCTCCGCCTGCTCGGCCTTCCCTCCCCGGACCGCGCGCCGGTGTCTCCCCCACCGCCTCCTGACCTCCCTGTCTATGGTCCTGTGTTCCCGCCGCCAGACTCGTCTCCGGCCCGTCTTCCTCCTCGTTCCCCTCCTGTGTCTCCTCCGCTGTCCCCTGACCCTACCCTTCCGTCT